ATCCGTAGACGCCTATTTTGTAAAGCAAGACCCTCAGTATTATTTGAATGGATTAAAGGGGTGGGAGCATCGCTGGAAAAAATGTATCGACTTAAAAGGAGACTGGAAAAATAAAATTGAATTTGACCGAAAAATTACTTATTTCTATGTTAGGCTCAAAACTTTTCAGACGACCCTCGTATAATTAAAAAATGTCTATTACATGAACGTTTCGGCTATGTGGGACAGACCAACCGTAAATTGAAGACGAGAATTAATGAACACAAAAATGACATTAACAAAAGGAGTAGGATTTATCTGTTATTTCTGAACATAGGTTACAAGTAGAACATGAATTTGATTGGATTAACACAGACATTTTTGATAATGAGAGATATATTGGTAAAAGATTGGTGTCTGAAATGCTGAATATCAAAATACAAGACAACGGTTTAAATTTGAAATCAGACACGGAGTTCTTGCACCATGCTTATACGAACATAATAAATAAATTCTGATTGGTTTAAATATTCTGAAACAATATGTTTCAATTCGATGACTTACGACAATTGTTGTTTCCTTGCTTATTTTTATATTTCTTAATGTCGATTTTACAGTTGACTTGACGATTGACACTGCGAACGTTATGTTGTCTTGTAATTTATTTAATATTTCTTTGTTGTCAACTGAATTTATGGAATATATATTTTTGTGCATATGGTGTACAGTAAGAAAATCTCCATATAATTTGTGGTCTTCTAATATTTGTCTCTAACGATATTTTGTTTGATTTAGTTGTCATTCAGTTAATCAACTAATTGAGGGTTACACACACTCTCTGGATAAGGTAATCCGTGAGATTTACTTACTGCATTCCATGGTTTGAACTTTGGATCATCTTCTTATTAGGATTATGAACTGCAAAATGCTGAAGATGGCTTGAACATAGCCGAAACGTTCATGTAATAGACATTTTTTAATTATATGTATATAAGTACCACACGAATTACTGTGTTTTTTTAGGCTCTTAATTGTCCGTTATTTATTCTTGTGTATTTTAAATAATTATTTCAAGAGCCTAATTGATTGATTTAATCCTTAATTAAGTTTCGACCAGTGGGTGCGCGCTGGAACTGTTTTCTTTCGAGGACAGAGTCCGCATTGGTCGACGTTATAATATAAATTCAACGGTTATAAAGATGTTGACCGTTCTTAATTCGAAATGGGAACTCCTGCATTGGCAGAAGAGTTATTATTCAATATTTTGGCCTATCCCTCTTGATTAATTGATTTATTATCATCGGTTCGATTTGAATTGTATTTGTTAATGTTCAACATTTTGCATAGATGATTTAAGCTTTGAAAACTTATAAAGAAGCCATTTACGGTCGATGTGTTGTTGGTGTTTAATATTCATTTGAGTTTTATACAGGTTTCTAGCTCAAACAAACTGCGCGCCGATATTCTTGAAACCCGTAAATAGCATTCTTCATGTATAGGTGAAACTTTTACAGTCCTATTGCATGTACTATTAGGTTAAAGATATACTTCTAAAATTAATTGATATTCTTCGTAGCGTATCGGGTACAAGTTCTAGAAAAAATATGGAGCTTTGTCAGCATTCTTTAAGTTCAAATTTGGATCAAAATTGAGAAAGTTTATAAAAAGTCCAAAAGTTGTACAGAAATTCTGAAAAATTGTACAGAAAGATGTAAGAAAATCAATCTATCCTTAAATTGCATATAGTAACATAAAGTACGAAGCATTTTCTCTTTTAAAATAGCAAATATTTCTTGTAATTTCATACTATATTTAATCGATATGCTACGAAGAATATCGATTATGATTCAATATTAAAGCAGGCTTCGCATTATGTCTAAATTTGCACATTTTATCAGTTATTTGTCTTAAATTCAATTAGTGCATATTAAAAGCTGCTGAACATTAAATTAGTAAAGTTGAGTATAAAAACAAATTTTAAATGATTAAAAAATGATATTGTCACGTTATTCAAAAGAATATATATGTATTATTTAAGTGTCAAAAGTATAAAAGTGTAGTATATTAAGTTTAATTTAGTCTAAACCTAACACATTTATGAAGTTAATTTTTTATTCCTTTAACTTGTAACTGTATTTTATTTATTTTATAAGCCATTTACTTATTACACAAGAGAAGCATAATGTTGTTATTTTTCGTATAATTACAAATAATATTACCATTAATTATGCTTATTTATATTACAATTAATTTATAGAACATTTTAATCTATTTACTTATTGTAAATGTGAAATATAATCAATGTTCAGTGTTACAAAATGACTAAAGCTTCAAAAAATTGAAAAAATGAAATAATGTTCCTGTAACAAATTTTGATACAACAAAAAAAAAGATAATTACTCTTTTCATGTAATACAGGCTTCCACTGTCTTTTTGACAGCATCACGAGCATATGGTATGTATGATAAAGAATACCATGTCATAGCTAGTGACTGAATGATTATAAATAGAAGAGCTAGACCAGGATTATGTAACTGAAAACAAAAGTGTAATAAATACTTCAAAGTATTAAGAATATATAAAAAACAAAAAATATTGAGTACTTACATGTAAAGCTGCAAAAAGTGTAAAAACAATCGAGATAAATACTAATATAGTTGCAATTAGTCTTGTCGATGCAAACATCTTCTTAAATTGATGAAATGGACCCATCAAAAAACACGTACTGAAACACAGATTGATAATTATTCAAATATTTTAATTGTATTTATAAAACTACTGTAAACATTATATAAAATACTATAAATACTGAAATTATTATATAAAGATTAAAATTATATGATAAAAGTCAGTTGTTATCCTGTAATTCTGTACCTAAAATAATAATATTAGTGTTTATACGGAGATTAGGACAAAGAATTATTTTTAAAACTATTACATATAAAAATACAATATATTTCAATGAGAACTTATTTAGTTCGAAGATAAAAAAATGGTGGTGTGTAACTTGTAATATATGTATGTATCAATGTGATTTTAGTGATAATTTTCATGTTTATGATATGTTAAATTTGTGTTTATCCTGTATTATCATCATTCGCATTAATTCTAAATGTTTATTTTCTTATTGCAGACACAATTGTATGAATGAAAGTCAACATACTCCCTCGTGTATTTCTGAGGGAAAATTTCGTTTATTTGTTTTATGTATGAATTCTCCCCCTAGTGTAGAATTTTTTTAGAAATATTTTTTTAGGTAAATTTTTTCTGAGTAATAAGAAATAAGATTACTGACAAGTACATCATTTATTGTACCTGGCTAAAGAGATAATGTTGCCCAAAGTATAAAATACAGCAAATACGGCAAGACCTTTTTGTAAAAACAATGCAAAGGATCCAAGGAATGAACATAATATGCCAACGATGAAACAAATTGCAAAACCTTTTATCCTGGTGGACCAACTTAACGTTGTTTGATCTATAACCTGTTAATCATAAAAAATGTCAATAATTTTTTAAAAATAAAGCTAAGTAACATATTGTACATAATGTAAAAATATATGTAACAGCAGTGGTGCTACAAGTAAAATAAATCTCTATAATTCTTTAACAATTTACCATAAAATCAGCATCAACCTTCCATTGTCGACCGCATGTGAGCATTCATTAAAGTGATAATATCAGTTTACAAATGAAATGAGATTATAATACATGTAACCAATTATTGACATATTACAATCAGTAATGCAGCTTATTGTACGTATTTACCTGCGTAATTATACCACTTTCTTCATCGCATCGTTCATTACCGTTCAAAGCTCTCCTTAACTTGTCCATTTTTTAATCAAAAACAAAAATGAATACACTTATCAGACGAACAAAATGTTGAATTCATTAACCTATCAATGTGTGAGGTTATCAAGTTGAATGAAAAACTGTATCACCACTATTACACACTAATGTTTCAGATCATACATATTTCTAAATGTTTAATTTATCGGAAAATATTTACACGTTAAATTAACTTTCACATAAAAAAATACTGTGCTACTATATTTATTTACACGCCTTTTCACGTATTTCGTGTAGCCTTCAATTTATAAACGTACTTAGAGTTGGAGATTGTTCTTAATAACCGGTCTATGTTGCACTTTCTGTACTCACAAAGAGTGAAAAAGACATAAATACAGAAACACAATATATCCTGTGCGAGGAAAGTTCTACTCGGTACAATATACGTATACTCATCCAATGCGCTCGTTTAAATGAGTAAGGGCCATTCCACACAAGCTTGCAGAGCCGCATAACCATATGCATAAAGCAAATTATCTAATCACATTTCTGTCATACAGACAAACGTAAACTACGATTGGATGATTTTCTTTATGCATATGTTTATGCGACTATGCAAGTTTGTGTGAAATGCCCTTAAGAGCTGTCATAATGGAAGAAAATGGGAGCTACTGTAGGAACATGCTGTAGCATGTTGGAGCATTTTGGAGCACAAGAACGAAATCCATTTAATTCTTGTAGCCCTTCTACAATAAGCCGCAAGTCAGAAGTTCTAAGCGATCTTAAATCATAATCGATGAATTTGGCCAATAGCCAACTTGAACGACTTGATTAAGACTGGTTAAGACTTCTGACGTTCTGACTTGTGGAGTATTGTAGAAGGCCCATAACAACCATGCCATTAATAACTATGCTGACACTGTAAAAACGAAATGTTAATTATAACTTAATGACGTATGGAATTTCCGAGATATCAAAAAATATTAACACTTTTATCGATATTTTTGTGATAATTGAGACATTTTAGCATATCTCAGAATTTTAAGTAAAAATTGAAATTATTTTTACAGTGTACGCAATGAAGTAAAAGTAAGTGTAAAACAGAACCTAAAATAGTATTTGAGCAATACAATTCAATGTTTATTTACACATTTTATCATTTTACGTATTGAAAGATTTATACATTTATTTGGATAACGGTATATGTTTAATTAAAATCGGAATTACTAAGATATGATATGTTTATTCAAGTATAATTGCCAAAAAGTTGAAAATAGATTAATTGCTGTTGTCCGTGATTGATCGAACTGAGGGGGGAAGGATACGACATAGTCAAGCAGGAAAAAGCGCAGTACCGTCAAATGCCGCTACGCCGCGCAAGAGGAGGAACGGGAACTCGTGTTTAAGATTCAATCGAGCGGCTATAAAAAGGCCAACCGCCGAGAAATCAGCATCGCTTCTCGGCTCTCTGAGCTAAGATCAAAGTGTAGTATCTGTTCTTATCAGCTTAATATCTGATACAGCCTCCATAGGAGGCTCAGTATATTAATCTATTTTTTGGGACCAGGCGGGTGCTCGGAGCTTGCTCCGACCTTGCCACGGGTCGACCCTGCATTGCATTGCAGCAGGGTTCGGCCCAGCAATTATCTAGAACAATATTTTATATATCTAACATCTTTTTTAATTGCCTGGTCTCAAGAAATAGATCTAAAACGGTGAAGTGCGCGAAAAAGTGACTTTGTGAAATTTTGGATTTTTCGAATTTTCGGTTGGACTACTGAGCCTCCTGCGCCGTCGGCGGCCAATTCTGGTAAGTTCCATGCGATAGAGCGTTCCTTCAGCTTTAATTTAAGATATTATTATATAGACTTTCAATTTTTAATAACTGAGATATAGCTGAACGCATGGAACGCGACAGCCGCCGCGGCGCGTTACCCGCGCGACGTACCTGACGTGCCCGTCGCTGGCAGCCTATGCGTAGCTTAACTACGTATATCTGTTGCTAATTTTGTATATATTTATCGTTTATTTATTCTATTTTGTCCTAATTTATAACGTACTTGTCCATACATATACATATACAACGCTGATCATCCGCGTATGTCACCGGTGCGTATAGGTTAACCTATACGCGCGCCGGTGCATATATGTCATAGCAGCTGCCTAACAGCCGATTGTTGCTAATTGTATATAGATTTTATGTTTATTCGTCTATTTATTTATACTGTATATGTGTATTTATTGGCAACGTCTAATTTTTTTAACGCCGGACACCTGCGAACATAACCTGTCGCGTCGCGTATACATCTGACGTTCGCAGGTTATATTGATGTTTTAGCAACAGATTTTAACTGCCTGACTTTAATTGTATATATATATTTTAGTTATTTATTGATATTTATTTATTTATTGATATTTATTTATTAATATTTATTTATTTATTAGTATTTAACTATTTATTATCTATTTATTGAACTTTTAATACGCGTAATATCTGCGTAATAACCGGCACGTAAAGGGTGCATATCACGGGTGTCAGCATATTAGCAACAATCTATCAGCTTTTTGTTAATAATTCTATATATATTCTACTTATTTATCAAACTATTACCTGATATATGTCTATGCATAATATCTGCATGCATCGCTGACACCTGGTATAGACAAAAGACGAGTGCCGGTGCATATCCATTGACAGCGACTGTCCACCTATTCGCTACTTAATTAAAAACATTCATTCTATTCATATTTTATTATTTATTACACATTTTTCATCATTTTTTCTTTGTCTTATATACAACATCTCCGTATATATCACCGGCACTCAATAGATGCATCACACGCGTGCCGGTACATAAGGCTGTCACGGCGGGTGCATTGCGCGATCTGGCTCAGAGAATCTTATTATTGACGTATTATTAACTTTTATTCCGAGTGTGAGTGTCCGCGATTTTGCCGAGAAGCGATTTCCGTTATTAGTTTATACGCGCCGCGAAGTGAGGTTAGGAGTGATCGTACGTGGCTGTCATCGCGATCGCGAAAAATTTCTAAGTCCGCTTATTCGTTAAGTTTGTAAAAGCATCGCGGTCGGGAGTGCGTTGTTAAAATCATCTTCTAGTGTCTGTTCGTAAAACCACTCCCGACAGTATTCGTTCATAAAATCAGACAGTCACGTACTTTAAAATCAAAGTGATATTATTGGTGAGAATAGGACCGCGGGTGCTTCTAATTATTAAAATCATATTTTTCCATTCTTTTGTACTGTATTCGCCCAGTGGATTCGTTGTGGCGAGTGCGCATAGAAAATTTTTGGAACTTTACTAATACTTCCAATTCTCCAGCCTCTGATTGGCTGATACGAGCCGGCCAATCGCAGTCCTCTGTGATTGGTCGAGGGGCCAAGTGATCCAAAGGCCCCTTTAATTTAACAGCCAATTAAGCTCGGCGCGCACTCGTTATGGCGGATCCACAAGTGCATTACATAGACTATCCACTGCCCCCTACAGTTAAGTGTTCCAAGTGTTTCGGTGTTGAGGGGGCAGGTAAGGTAAAGGGCGAATACAGTGACCCGCCGCATTTATCTAAACATTTAAAAAAGTGCCACCCGGGAGACACATTAAACTATAAATGCTCAGAGTGTAATTTTAAAGCTAAAGGTAAATATCCGTACAAAGACGTGAAGGCACATTACACCACGTGCCATGTGTCTCCCGCAGTGGATGCGGCGGG